TGTACTGGGGCTCACATACAACCAGCCGCGACGCGGCGGGGGTATTGAGGCCCATGCCTCCTGCGGTGACGTGCAGGGAGGGGCACTGTCGGTCCTGCTCTCGGGTGGGGGGTTGAACCTGCGGATGCTCCGGAGCTGGGTGTCCGTACTAGCCTCGCCGGGGAACGGGGGTTGTCGCATCTCAGTGGGCGCGTCCGAGCGAGGGGTTGGCCGAGGGGTGGAAGGGCTTCGGCGGGGAGGTCTAAGGACCGGGGGACGGGACGGCGACGTGACTTTACGAGACTGTCCACTGCGGGAGGGTAGGGTTGCGTATGGTAGAGGACGGGAGGGGCCACCTGAGGGGTGCCGGACCGTGGGACGTCGGCGCGGTGAGATCGGTCTGCCTCCCCCGGGGGGGAGGAGGGTGTGAGCTTGGGTGGCCCGGCGAGGCGTGGGGAGTGTCCCAGGGCCTGGGGTAGAGACCGCCCCAGGCTTTCTCCAAGAGGAAATGCTGGGGGGGATGAAGGAACAGAGGAGAGGGAGAGGAGGGTTGGAAAGGTGGGAAGAAGAGAGGATGTGAGGAGAGGAGGAATCAGGAGCCATGGTGTCGACCGCTCCGCGGAGCGGGGAGGGAAAGGAAACCGCGTGGCGAGGAGGGGGCCAGCGAGAGGGGTTCGGGCGCGTCGATGGGGACGGCGGGGGCGGGAGGGTCGGGCCGCAAGCGGAAAGGAAAGGCCAGGGGTTCAGCGGCGCGACGAGGAGCGACGCCCTGGTCCGCGGACTCTGGACGGGAGCGGGGGTTGGGGTCGTCGGCGGACTCGGGACGGGAGGGTGCGAGGTGGACTCGGGACGGGAGGGGAGTCCGTGAAACTTGAGACGGTAGGGGCTGGGATGTAGTGGGTCTCCAGATGGGTGGGGAGTAAGGAGCGGGGGGCGGACGGGGGGTTTGTATTCTGGGTGCTTGTAGGTGGTGGGTGGGTGAAGGGTGGGGGCAGGGAGAAAAGGGGGAAATTATGTGTCTGCCGGGGGAATTTACAGGGGAAAGCTCGGGCTAGGTTGGATGCTTGAGGGATTTGGACGGCGAACGAACTCTGGTATCGGGCAAGCGAACTGGGCGCTGCTGGGAGACAAGCTTGGGCGGGGATGGAGGTGTTGTGGCGGGTGTCTGGGTGGGAAGTGTCTGTTGGCGTCATGCATTGGGAGGATGGTACGTACAGTCAACCGGGGGTGAGACGGCATATGTGCGTCCATCCATCCCTTCGTGTGTTAGGGACTATGTTTCTACTTGTTCCCAGTTCCCGTACTACCTAACCATGCCATCGCTGTCGAGCTAGAAACACCAATATTACACGAGTCTTAAGCCGGGGGAGAGTGGGAAAACATATTCATGCGCATTGGTGATACACACCGCAAACCTCAGAATCATCCTAGCGCAAACGATATCTCTCATGGCAACATACGAGACGGAACGCGCTGTCTCGGTGGACAGACATTGCGCCGAAACGATCCATAATCCTAAGGGCACAGTGAGCGCGCGGCCCTCCTAGTGATTCTGCCGCTGCAACTCGGGAATTAACTGGGCGGCCAGCTGTGCGTCCACGAGGCTGTGGTATCTGGTTAGCAGTGGACGAATAAACTTGGGGCAGGTTACCTGCACGTACTCTTCTTCATCGCCTTCTGCTTCATGGACCGCCCCCCCTGGCTCGGCCTTGGCAGGGACAAACGGGGAATTGGGTAGATGATCGGACTGGTTCGGTATCCCTTCTGGATAGGGCGGCAAGTCGGGGGGTGAGCCGCTGTCGGTGGGGTTTACTATTGTGGTTGCCATGACCGCGGATGGTTCTCCGTGCTCAGACTGAAGCAGGGCCATGTCTGCTTCTGGTTGCAAATGAGGGTGGATATGTGACTGGGGGACCGAGACGGGCAGGCTGCTGTCAGAACCGTCCGGGCCGAGAACAGCAGCTGCGCCGGCATGCTCCTGGGGACCGTCAGGGACTGAGCGTGGCCCGGAACGTCCAGGGGTGGGGGCGGGCAGCAGCTGCTCCTTTGCCTTGCGCTTGCGGTTCGGCTTGGGCCCCGTGTACAACGAGCAGGTGGAGGTGTTGTCGAACCACTTGCAGTTGGAGCAGCTGTTGTGGTAGCTCCCGGGCAAGACGCGGCAGGTGAGAAACGGGCCGAGGGCGTTCTTTGCGCGCTTCTCGGTGCACTGGGCGCAGGCGTGGGCGGCGTCCTGGCCGCGCGAGTGGATGAGCAGGCCGTTGACGTAGCTGGGGCGCTGGGAGGCGATGTGCTTGGCGGTGATCCAGCCCTGGACAAAGAGGATGGTCTCGCGGCTGGGCAGGCCGAAGATGGCGCGCTGCGTCTCGTGGACGAGGGACGACTCGGTGAGGGCGCGGCGGATGTCGATGGCGACGACGGGAACGGGGCGGTCGTTCTTGGCGGCGTTCCAGGCCCGCACCAGCGAATTCTGCTCGTAGTCGGCGTCGCGGACGGTGGCGTTGGGACGGCCGGGGGGGCGCCCACGGCGCTTTTTGGGGAAGGCAGTGGGCAGGGGGGAGGCAGAGGGGGGGGGGGGCACGTTTGCGGGAGTTGCTTGGTCGGTAAGATGAGCTGTGGGAGTCTGGGTTCCGGCCTGCTGGTGAGGCTCATGGTCACCAAGCTGTCCGAGCTGTCCGGGCTGTCCGGGCTGTCCGGGCTGCCCGGGCTGCCCGGGCTGCTCGTGCTGCTCGTGATGCTGGTGGATGGAGGTGTAGTGGGCCCAGAGGTCGGCGGCGGCGGTGGCGGGGGAGTGGCCAGGGCCAGACACGACGGCGCCCGCGGCAGCAGAGTCGGCCATGACGGCACCCGGTACCGCTGCTGCCTCGGCCATGCCCAATGCTATGTCCCGCGAGTGTCGCCGTCGACGCAGGGCGTGGTGGCCGGGTGCTACAAGAAAGCAATTGCACGGCGGGTGGGATGGGGGTTTATTTTGTAGTCGCGTCGAGAATGCGCCGGTCCCCGGATTGGAGCGCAGGATGCTGTGGAGTTCGCGCACGGACCATCCAACCGCTTGGCTGGGCGTGCGTCAGTGCGCCAACGGCATTAGCCGAGATGCTGCGACTTGCTGCTGGCTGCCGCTGGACCGCCGCTGACTTGCGACGACAACGACGCAACCGACCAGTGAACCAACCAACCAGCAACTCCCTGCGTCAGCCAGCAGCCATTCCACCACTACCACAAACACCACCAACCTCCCCGCCGGGAAACACCTACGTGCCACCCGTCGAGTCCGTCGCTGGACCACAAACGTCGCCGCCGTCCCCGACCCTCCGACCTCCCTAGCTGGTGGCCATCCAGCCCATCGTCGCCATGTCGAACCCCAACGCGCTCCTCCTGCTCGCCGACCACATCAAGCTGTCGCTGCTCGAGCAGAAGCGCGCCCGCACCCTCAACCTCGCCCGCGACTCCCAGGACGGCCACATCTCGCGCTCGCTCGACCAGTTCCGCGAGGGGCTCGACGCCATTGAGAAGGAGCACCAGCGCCTGCAAGAAGTTGGCGATGCCTCGTATGCCCTCTCTTCTTCTTCCCTCCATTCCCCTCGTACCAGCACGTGCCCTGGCCCGCCGCTAACAGCCCCCAGAAAAGCCACCGCCCTCGCCGACACCCTCGCTTCCCTGCGCAAGCAGTACACCGACCTCTCCTCGCAGTTCCAGGGCCACACCTCGACCTCCACCACCGCCACCCTAACCCACCCCAACGACCCCTCCCTCGCCGCCGACTTTGCCCACGCCCAATCCTCCCACACCGACACAACCGCCTCCCCACCCCCAGCCTCCCAACAACAACAGCCCAAAAAGGCCGTCCGCTTCTCCTCCCCCACCACCGACCTCGAATCCCAAACCTCCGCCACCCAAAACCGCCCCGCCCACTTCCCCTACCGCGACGACATCGACGACGACTCGGCCGGCTACCGCGACCACATCGCCGCGCAGGACCTGACCAACGACCAGATCCACACCTACCACGACCGCATCCTCTCGGACCAGGACGCCCAGCTCGACGCCCTCGGCGCCTCCATCGCCCGCCAGCGCGAGCTCTCCATGCAGATCGGCGACGAGCTCGACTCCCAGGTGCTCCTGCTCGACGAGAGCGAGCGCGCCGCCGACCGCCAGCTGGGCACCCTTGCCCGGGCCCGTCGGCAAGTCTCGCGGGTGGCGCGCTCGGCCGGGAGTGGAGCCGAGGGGAGGCAGATGGGGATTATTGTGTTGTTGATTATTGTGTTGGTGTTGTTGATTGTGATTGTGAAGTGAAGCGGGGGTGGAGGGAGTTGCGTGAGATTTTCGGTATGTATCGGCAGTCCTGTGTTGGGTTGCGGGGTGGTTGGGGAGGGGGGATGGTTTTATAATGGCATTTCATGGCGGGCGTCTCATTTTGCCAGTATCATCATGTTTTTTTTGGCAGCAGGGAGGATCGGATGGTCGGCGTTACGGTCCGGAGTAGAGCAGCGAGCAGCAACGAAGCAGCCGACAGGCAGGCAAGCAAGCAAGCATTGCGGGCGGCCTTTGGTTTTCACGTCATTTCTTCCCGTTCTCATCCCATCGACGAGGTTCACATTCAACCCCCAAATTTCCCTTGTTTCCATTCTCCACCAGTTGCTTGCTTTGCTTGCTTACTTGCTCAAATTGGTTCCTCGAACCAGCCAGCCCATTCAACTTGAGATCCAAACTCCCGCCCTCCCCCCTTCCTTTCACCCACCTACCGTCCAACCCTACCGCTCCATCCTCCCTCAAACCCACAACTCCACCATCATCCACCCTCCCGCCCAGCTGCCGTTCCCTCCCGCCCGCTTTCCCCGCCCCACCACACCAAGCAAACAATCCACCCTCTCTCTTCCATGCCAACCGCAACCCCCACTCTTCCGGCAAAAGGCCTCTCCACCGCCCCCCCACCACTCCACCAAACCCCAAAAAACCACGCAAACCCCACCACACCGAGATCAGATAACCCCATCTCCTTCGCCACACGCCAACAACAACAAAAAGCCCGATTAGCTCAGCTGGTTAGAGCGTCGTACTAATACCGGTACTCCGCCTGTATATGGTATGCGAAGGTCAACAGTTCAATCCTGTTATTGGGCAATTTGCTTTTCCTTTTGGCTCTTTTCCATCCATTCCCGAGTATCATTTTTTGTCCCCCGCGGTAGTTGTGGGTGGGGTGAGATGTGCCGGGTGTCAGGTGTGAGGTGCGGTTGTGGCAGTTGTGGCAGTTGCCAGGTGAGGGCTGTTGGATGGAGAGACAACTGCTCAGGGGTTCAAGGGGGGTGGGGGACAAACATATGTTGCTTGGGTGAGACAATCTTTTGTTCTTACCTCCGTCACCACACATCATCGTCAACAATGAGCACGGTTCGTGTCTTCAGGGCCAAATCATCAACATACGTAGATAGCGCAGGGTACAAAAATACAGTTCAATTGATGTTTAAACGCAACGACTCGCCCCCCCTTTCCGTCTGTCCGTTCCATTCACCCAGCAACGCTACGCGGAACGGGTTGTCCGTCCCTCCCTCTCGCGCCCAAGCAGCCAATTTCACCCAAATCCATCCAGCCAGCCACGTTCCCCCTTCGACGCCCAGCAAGAAAAGCCCCTACCTCACCGAATCACCTCCCCCTCCCTGTCAATCCCCTCAAGAAACTCCAGAATGGGACTGCCGCCGAGCACGCTGGCCACGCCGGCCGTCCCCTTCTGGCCCGCCGCCCACACCTCGTGGAACTTGACGCTCTTATCGCTCGACGCAACAACGATGCAGCCCTCCTTGGCGGTGCGGCCCGCGCCGCCCTTCCCAGCCCCGGCCCGCCCTCCTCCTCCACGGCGCCGCCCGCCGTCCTCGGGCCCGCAGGGGTACGGGATGGCGTACAGGGCGCGGTGCTCGCCGGCCCAGGGAATCGCGGCGACCTGGCGGCACTCGGGCCACGAGAAGACGGCGATGCGGACCGGGTGGTCGGGCTGGGCGTAGCCGAATGTCGCGGCGATCTCGCGCCGCGTCGTCGACCAGATCAGGCTTGTCACCTGCGCCGACACCGAGATGGACGCTAGGGCCGCGCCCGAGCCCGTGTGGAAGAAGTGGATGCACTTGTCGTTGGATCCGCCGCCTGTGGCGAGCAGGCTGTCCTGCCAGGGGCAGAAGGCGAGCGCCTTGACCGCGGCGCCGTGGACCCATCGGTGTTTTTCGTCTCCGGGTCCGAGGTGGCCGGCCTCGTCATGGGGGAGAATACCGGGAGACGTTTGGATCTCCGTCTCTGCTACAGACACCTCACTGATCCCGCGATCATGTGCCGGCATCGATGGCCCAGCGTGGTAGCCCTCGTTGATACCTTGGCCGCCGTCGGAATGGTATCCGAGGACTCTGGAAGTTTCAAACAGGTAGCACATGTTGTCGTTCCCTCCTGTGGCAAAAGAATCGCCGTTCCTCGACCATGCCAACCCGCAAATCTGCTGTGAATGGACGACGACGCGTGCCAGCAACGTCATCTGGCCGGCCCAGTCATGGCGCTCCACCTCCCACCGCTCGGGCCACTCGACGGCGTAGTAGTACACCAAGCCGACTTCATCGCCGACTAAAAGGTCTTCATTCTTGACCGGGACACCCGGGTGAAGGCGGCTCTGCGAGGGCCGGATGGTGCAGACGGGCTTCCAGCTGAGGCAAGCGACGGGAGCGGGTTGGACCATATCAAACCGCGGCGTGGGAGCGGAGCTCGCATTGGCAGGGTCGGCGTCGTCGTACAGAGACATTAGACCCAGGGTCTTGTCAGACCGCCCGAAGGCAAGGATGGATTTGCACCCTTCGTCGGAGGAGAAAGACAGGCTGGTCAGATGGCAATCCGGGTCGGTTCCGGCATTCAGGAGCTGCACTCCCCTGGCTTCGGACCACCCGTAGAGCAGATTTCCCAGCCCCACTGCTAGCGTTTGGGAGGTGGCAGAGTATGCCAGGATGGAGCAGTAAAAGTCATCTCGCAAGTTGGGAGCGTCGAGGACCCTGTTGGCCATCAGCCTGTGTCACAACCCAAGGCGTTGGTGGCCAAGAAACTTACTTGAATGGCGCGGTAGGCAGGGTTCGATTCCCTAATGGCTTCTGGGGCTTTGGGACGGGCCCCTCGTTGACCCATTCGATGCCGTTCCAGTGCGTGCGAACATAGCCCGGCTTGTTGCAACCGCCTCCCCGATGAACGGGGGCGCTAACCTGGAGCACACGTTGGGCTCGGTCCAGCCCGAGTGCGGCTGCCAGTCGGGCTGAATGCTTGTCGAGTTCCTCTTCGCTCTGCGGCTTCGCGGTTGGGAATGTGGTTCGGAAGAGCGGAGCGTTGGTCCCGCTCCTGACCAGCTGTCCCCGGCCGTTGTTAACTGCGGTTCCCCCCAGGCCGACCGTCCAAGCTGGGCTGGTGTCGACCGGTCGGTCGGTGGCATCAATACTATTTTGATCAAGGGGGCCGAGGACGCTGCCGACTGGAGCCGAGTCAGCGTTGTTCAAAACGACGCCATAAGGTCAGACCAACCTTCGTTCCTGCTAGCGGCAGATTCGGCGCGGAAGAGCTGTGCGCGTGTTTCGACTCCCAGAGGTGTCACGACCCGACGGCGGTAGACAAACGCATCCTCGGAGGCGCCACCGTGTCGGAGGACTCTCTCGCCAGTGGTCAGCTCGTGGGGTGCCTTGTGTGTCTTGAATCTCTCCACCAGCTGCGGCCCTGGGGTTCTTGCGGGGATGAAACGGTCCAGGTGGCGGACAGCGATATGGTTTGGCGTCCGCTGCTGAAGCCGGGCGTGTGGGAGCGGGTGGAAGGAAGGGGGCAAAACCGGGCGAGCACGCGGCGTCCGCCTCGGGAGAGTGGCGGACCTCCTGAGGAGTCCCGACGGGTCGTGGGACTGAGACGGGGGCGGGGTGTGCAAGGCAGTCGCCACGTTCGCGAGAGTGTTCTCATGGTCACTTTCGACGAAGGGGTCGTCTGAGTCAGACTGGTTGCCATCGCAGCTGTTCCGGAGGTCTGCCAACGGCGGCAAGGCACTGCGCTTGCCAGTCCGCTTCAGCGGCGAGAAGGGTGAAGAAGCAGAGCCATAGCCCGAGTCCAAGGGGCTTGGGGGGTCTGGCGAGCTGTATGCGTGGCGTCGGCGTCGTGCTTGGGGTCGAAAAGGGACATTTACAAGCATGGTGCTGTGGACGCCAGCTTGTCAAGACGGTTGCGGTCCGCGATGGGGAAACGAGGCGAAAAGCGAAGCGAGTGCGCCCCCTCGGAGCCTACCATGGCAAGCCCCAGCTCGAGCTGCGGAGGGGGTGGGGGGGGGGGGGTGGGGGTCTGCAGCGTGTGTGTCGACTGCTGCGAGTGACGGAACTCGGTTCGTCTTGTTCGATGCTCGTTAGCGGTGAAGATGGGGGTATCGAATATCGATAATGGGGCGAGCGAGTGGCAATAGGTCGGGGAGTTGCAGTGCAAGCCGGATGCGTGCAGTTCAGACGGGGAGGGTGGGCGTGGTGATTTCCCAAGCGTAGGAGTGGAAGGAGAGAGCAGAGAGCAGAGAGCACAACAGAGCAGCGGGCCCCAAGGTGAGGCGTGTCCAGGTGGATGCGTGTGCTTCGTTCAGTCAAGGCAGGCTCGAGTTGGACAGAGTTTTCAAGGTGGCGCTCCTGCTGCCTGCGATGAGTGCCGTGTGATGCCCAACACGGCAGGACCCCGTGAGGTGAGACGAGATCATTCTTGGGAAGCTGCGAGGCGGCACAGATGACAGAGTCCCAATCTTCTTGCAACTTGCAGACTGCATCGTCATGGGCTGACGCTGGGAGGGGCGGCGTCGTTGGCTTGAGCTGAAGCTTCGACCTTCGAACTCGAGCGCTTCGAGGTCCCCTGTTGTTTGTTTTGCATGTTTTTCTCGGCATGGAGAACCGGAAGAACAGTTGACCGTGAGGCGCGACCGACCGACTTGATGAGCTGGGAAGTCGGTATTCTGGGCTGTCTTTTAACCGCCTGGAGGATGTGCCGTTTATCCCGAGCCGTGAGAACCTCAGGCCGGCCACTTCGGGGCTTGGATTCAATCGTGGCGTCGGTTTTGAAGCGTTGGACGATCCTAGAGACAGTCGAGGATGTGGTGCCAAACGCCATTGCAATGGCCGCTCGACTTGCCCCGCCCGCAACGGCACCTAAAATGGCGGCACGTGCAACATCAGACAATTCCTGTTTTGTTCCCGGCCAGCCGTCAATTTAGCCCCAAGTTCGTTGAGGGCGATCATCTTGTTGTTGGTGAAGTGTGTGGTGGAGGAACGCTGGGGGTTGAACGTGTCGCGGGACGCGTTCAGTTCGAGTTGGCTGATGTGGGGCGTTCCCAGACTTTTGGAACTGCTTCGAGTTATCGATAAGCCCCACCTCGGTCTTGCTGGGGTGAGCTGCTGACGACGAACCGGGGTCCAAGCACACTAACAGCCAGCTTCAAGGCCCCAAGACATCCCCAAGACCTCCCAAGACCACGGCCCCGGACACGCCATCACCATCGCACCGCACCACCAGATCATGGCCGACGTATGATACCCCCGTCTACTCGCTCCGTCCCGTTCCATCCCCCACTTCATTCCATCCTCGCCTTTCCCCCCCCTCTCCCCCCTCCTCTCGCTCTTCCCCCCCTCCGCCACGGCCGGCACGTTGACTGATTCGCAAGGGCGCCACCAGCAAGGCGGCTCGCAGCACGGCATAGCCCGGACCTCGCGCGTGCGGACCGACGAGCAGCGCCAGCGCGACCTCGACCGCATCGCAAAGTACCGCGACCTCGAGGGCCAGATGCGCGCCCTGGCCGACGCGGGGGACTACGCCCGCCCGGACCTGCTCGCCCTCACATCGCGCCTGCTGCGCCTCAACCCGGAGTACTACACGATATGGAACGCCCGCAGGCGCTGCCTAATCTCTGGCTCCTTCTCAAGACCCTCGCCTGGGTCGTCATGCTTGACGGCGTGCTCGAGTACTTCTCGTACCGCCACTACAGCCGCCTCTTCCACGACCTCCTCGTCCTCCTCCTCGGCCGCGACCCCGCCCGCCCCCGCCTCCCAGACAGCTGGGACGACTGGTACAACAACTGAGAACCCGGCGGCGGCAGAACAAAACAC